AAAGCTGCTGGTGACCAGTTAGCACATCGTTGTTGTTGCGACGTAGCTCCTACCTCCAAAATGGTAACTTTACAGAAGGAAAACATCTTTGGTCATGAAGGTGTTGATGCAACGTATTGGGCAGCTGGAGTTTTTCAATACTGTAAAAAATAAAAACAACAACAAAATGGAGACGGAAAGTTTTGTTCCAGCAGCAATGATATGCTAAGAGATCCGTACTGGATTTATCCAGTGTTTTGGACTGACTAAGACAGACTAGTATGGGTAGCGTATGGTTTTTTATGCATATAATCGCTGTTAGAACATAACTGTATCTCCTTTTTTTTATTTATTGATCTTTTAATCTTTTCTTGATTACTGTACAGGTACCGACACGCTTCCATCAAAGCGTTCGCTTTTGTTTTTTTGTACGTCATTTTTATGCACCAAGTCGCCCAGCAATACGGCGATGCAGTTTACTGTTAGAAAGTTTGAAAATTGTTTGCGGGAATTGAAATTTGATTCCTGCAGACCACTTTATGAGCAGTTATTCACAGCAGTAACAGTCATCTCATTTGCAACACAAGCACCAAATGAGCAAACACTAGCAAATCTGTAGATCCTCACAGTCAAAGCCTTGCCGCTCTCCACAGAGACACCATCGTCCAAAACGTGGTCTTGATAACACAGCAAGAGTCAGAGATCAGTTTAGAGATCAACATCTCAGGCCAAAATAAACTCCTACATTCTAGCCTCTGTTACTCAACCTGAGAGTGTTACCTTTCCAGTGAGACCAAGATCACGACTGTAGCCTAAAGTCTGTGGGAACAGCGCACCCTTTTACTTTGGGTTTGCCATTTCAGGCAAAAATGGGGTGACAGTTAAAAGGTTAGAAAAACAGCAGCTGTTCTGTACTAAAATGGCTTAACGTTAGCCTAGCGATCAGGCTACAGACCCAAACAGTGCCGCACACCGCAGTACAGGCTTGATTCTGACAATTGGAGCTCTGGTTGATACAAATAAAATTATAATGTTGAAGAGAGCAAAAGTAGAGTGACAGTAAGCCGAAATCGAACCTGTTCTGTGGTGTTTAGCTTAGTTAGCAGCCCACATGTGCCACACCACAGCTAACTGATGCTAAAATAACACCCGTTTAGAGGAGAGCGCAAAGTTGAGTGACTGAATTTGAGCTCCACATCACCAATAAGTGAGCCCTATAAAGTATTAAGGGTTGGACTGTGTTTTTATCCATTCAAATAGGAATTTGAATGTCATACTTTTAAAATACCGTCATCATTTTTATATATTATCGTTTTTACATACCGTGGTCTGACATGTCACACCGCCCAACCCTATTCTGGAGGTTTTGTTCCAACAGTGACGACGTGCTAACTGACCATTACTGGATTTCATTCATTTTTGCCAGTGTTCAAGGCTTTTAGGTCAAGAGCAAAAGATGTCTTACTGTTAATTAGATTATAGGAGTATTTCGCCTGGATCTGCTAATGTTCTGCTGGTGGTGACGACTTAACTTCCTTGCACCTTTTCTATTCAGAGGAGTGAAAATCCCTTTGTCTTTTTGCATCATGTAATTGAGCCCACCCACCCACTATAGTGAAATGAAAACAAATCATGTTGTGTGTTGATAATCCGACCAGAACCTGCACTACTAGCACGATACTCCTTTAAAGGAATGTTCTAAAGTTTTTCGACCTCCACCGCCTGCATCTCTATTGTACCGCAGATTACCAACAACAGTATGGGCATGTTTTTCAGTTCAGAGTAGTGGTCTGCACTCCCAATATCTTATGGCGCGGGACTAATTTTCAGTGTGGAGCGGGCGGGAAACCAGCCCACTGCAGGCGGGAGCAGGCCGAAGCACACATGAAGAGAAATCCGCAAATTAATGAAGCTTATATAAAATAGAACGATCACTAAATCGTATATACGAATGTAAAATGATAACAGTAAAACAATTAAAATGAATGAAGTCATTCTAAAGAGTTGCGAAGCAACAGATCACGTGAGCAGCACACACATTCTCGTAGCTTAGACATGATTCATGCCACGCAAAAGCAGTATGTGTGAGTGATGTGGAAAGTCTTACTTTTCATTTTGGTGTCCATGTTCACAAGTGGTCAGTGCTTTCTCACAGGCTGAGTCCCAGACGCTGCACTGAAGCGCCACAGTGTTTAGAGAATAGACCCGGTGCTGATTTTATTCACTCAGCAAAATAGACTGAAATAAGCCATGAAAATCAATGAAAATTAAACAAAAGACCGTGTACAAACTTAAAAACGCTATTTTTAAATTCAGTTTAAGTAATGACGAAATACTAGTGAAGCATTCTGTGCTGCAGACGGATTTCCCGGTTGGTCTACTACGCTTGAAACTTTTGCCTAATCACAAGCCAGAATGCTGTCGAGGATAAACAAATATATCGTGCACTTCTATAAATGATATTTTTGTTGAGCAGAGTGACGGATGTGACCATTTATTCGTCTGGAAACAGGACTGTCTGTATAAGTTTCTCGCTGCTCCGCCCCACAGCTCAAACACTGTGTGTATAAAAGGCCAGTGTGTTTGAGCTGTAGCCCTTGCACTGCTGCATCACTCCTGCCATGCAGGGGCAGCATGTGTGAATCAGGTATTAGAGGGACGGTGGAGCCTTCAGTCTGACGCCCGCAGCTGCCCAGCAAAACACCAAAAATAACCGCTCTCTGGTGTAATTCCTGCTCTGTGTTTACTGGGAGTAAATGCCATTTGGTGAAGTTACTTCGCAGTGAGCCTGATGACCATGACTGCCGTGTTTGTGATTAGACTGTGTCAGATATTGGATGTCAGTTCGCCTTGACGGATCTGCCCGAGCAGGAGCAGGACAAAACGTTTCGGTTGTGGGTCGGGAGCGGGACAAAAGATTTCGGTTTTCTGCGAGACTAAACAAACAGTCCGGCACAGACCTCTAGTTCAGAAGACGATTGGGCGGTCGCTGGATTCTGCAAATTAAACATTTGACCGCGTAATGCGAATTCACAACTACAACCGTTACAGGTGATGAGAATGTCCATCAGAGCTGTTCTCGTGAAGTTCTGTCCGCACGACACATATGAAAGTAGTATCCATGGCGATCAAACTCCACCCCTAGTAACGAAAAACCAGTCCCACCTCCGAAAGAGAAATGTGTACGGATTTAGAGTTTACCTTCTGGTTGCTAATGACTGAAAAAATGAAAACATTTAACGCATTTCAAACTTTGTGTTACACATCTGTTTTGAGAGAGCTTCTGCCCGCTGACCTCTAATATGAGGGCGTTTCGTGTGAGCAGGATGAAAGACGTTGACGATACAGATGCAGCAGACAGAGATTAGGTTGACGTATTTCTTCTACACTAGTAATTTTCTACAGTCACTAATGGCTCTGGTATTAGAGTGCAGTGCTAATATTTATCCAGCAGCTGGTTGTGTTACAGTATGTATGCCTGTGCTGGTGCATCATGAACAAATGAAGGTCGAAGCTCAAACTGGAAACGCTATTCTGATGAAGCTGCTCTGCCACAGACTGATTTCGTAATGTATGGAGACTGAAGTCTATGTAATCTGTTCTAACTCACTGTCTAGAACATGTTGCTTATTATGGTGAAGTATAGAGGAACCAGCCATTCAAGTATGTCTCACTTATGCGCTTAATTCATGCTTCTTTATGCTCGGCGGTGACCTGCATATCTTGGAATGTCCTCTTTTACAACTTTGAGACGTCATCTTGAACACAATGTCCTCATTTCTCATATCTGTCCCCCCATATAAATGTGAACGGTGCATATTTGTTTGCATTTCAGTGGAGGTTACACTGTTTCCGTTATTCTGTCAAGGAAAGACTGTTACACCAGCCCAACATGGGATATGTCCCATGCACTATAAAGAACCTTGCTTTAAAGAACTTCACAATACAGTCACTACTATATCACACACATCAACACCTTCACTGTTGACCCCTCTGAGTCTAGACTGAAGCTTGATGTGACCTACAGTAAATATCTCATTTATATTCCTTTTTTTTTAAATTTTGTGTTTATATAATCTTAAATCTGTCCTGAGTTTTTAGATCTGCTTGTAATATAAATTATGAAATTACTTGATTAATATAAACTGAGATGTTTGTTTTGACACGCAAACACTGCGTCATTTCTTTTATCTCTTTTTTTTTTTATTTTATTTTCTTAAAACCGTTAAAGATGTGCAATCGCACTGTGGGTCCACCAGGGGTCAGTAGTGGTGCTAGTGAGCATCTTTGTCTCAGCTAGCGCGAGCTATCTGGTCATGTTTTGGAACACTGTTATCGGGGACCATTTTTATGTTCCCCTAATGGACACAGGCGCTTTTGGGCCTCTTTAACACCTCGTTTTCAGCAATCCTGAGTAAATAAAGAAAGAAAGAAATAAAGAAATTTAAAAAAAGACTTCAGATGTTCTAGTTTCTCTGGAGTGAATTACGCTTCACTATCTGACAGACTGATGGGTGAATCTGGGTTTGGTGGATGACAGGAGAACGATATCTACCGGAATGAGCAGTGCCAACAGTAAAGTTTGGTGGAGGAGGGATAATGAGCTGGGCTGTGTTTCAGGGTTTGGACCCCTCAGTTCCAGCGAAGGTTAATGTTAATGATACAGTACATAAAGACATTTCAGACAATTATATACCCAACATCAGTGTCTGACTTCACAAATGCTCTTTTGACTGAATGAGCACAAATTCCCACGAACACACTCTGAAATCGTGTGGAAAGCTTCCCAGAAGAGTGGAGGCTGTTACAGCCACAAAGGAGGTCAACTCCATATTAATCCTCATGGCTTTAGAATTTGGTTGTCCAATAAGATGTGATGGTCAAGTGTCCACATACTTTTGGCCATATTGTGTGTGTGTGTGTGTGTGTGTGTGTGTGTGTGTGCATGGACCATATAGTATATAGGAGAATAAAAAAAGTACAAGGTAGGGGGTGTTTCTAATAAAGTGGCCAGTTAGTTGAAGTACAAAGGAAGTGTTTCTAATAAAGTGGCCAGTTAATGGAAGCACAGGGTAGGTGTTTCTAATAAAGTGGCCAGTTAATGGAAGCACAAGGTAGGTGTTTCTAATAAAGTGGCCAGTTAGTGGAAGCACAAGGTAGGTGTGGCCAGATAGTGGAAGCACAGGGTGGGTGTTTCTAATAAAGTGGCCAGTGAGTGGAAGCATAAGGTAGGTGTTTCTAATAAAGTGGCCAGTTAGTAGAAGCACGAGGGTAGATGTTTCTAATAAAGTGGCCAGTTAGTAAGCGTTTCTCATAACCCTCAGTGTGTCGAACAGCCGTGGTGGGGTTTAGTTAATTGCTGTCCGACTCCAGGGCTTTTATTCTGTAATTTTCTTTTTGCGTGATCGTCGTGGCCGAGCTTCCCAGTTCTCTTCACATCAGACGCGCGTATCGGAGCGGTGGGCCAGACAGAGAAGCTGCTTTAAACCCAGATTTCCGTCTCTATTTGTTTCCGAGCTGATTAAAGATGCCTCTGAAGTTCGAGCTGTGTCCCGGCCGGATGGTCGGAGGGAGCCATCCCTGTTTCATCATCGCAGAAATTGGACAAAACCACCAAGGCGACCTGGAGAAGGCGAAGGAAATGATCAAAATGGCCAAAGTAAGAGTCTCTACTGTCTTTAAACCGGGTTTTTGATTAAACGTAGCTTTAATGTACATCAACGAAGAGATTTTAGTGAGGTTTAGGCAACATTTCGAGGCTTTTCTTTCATATTCGCCGGTTTGTTATTGGAATTTTCCGTTCCACCTTAAGCGGTGCAGCAGATACTTGTATAACTGTAATACACGTAGCTTTAACAGTAACTGTATACATATAACTGCTGCACCGTTTAAGGTGGAGCGTTTTCATTTCTGTTCTGGTTTTTAACTCAACACATTATCCTTTTTTAATTTAATTTTTTTTTTAATTATCCTTTTCAGTCTGACATGAGGTGTAATTTTGAGCCACTGCTTTAAGGAGCAGATCTCTAACAGTGGTCCTGTAGGTCTGCTCTCCTCAGACTCACCCTGCTGAAAAACGTTTATTATGAAGAAAATACCATGAAATAAAAAATATATATATTTAAATCAAAGCCTCACAATTATATCTTTAGACATGATTCAGTGATGTTTAGAGCTGTTGTAGTCAATATTGTCAATAGGTTTATTTTTTATTGGAATTTGAGTGTTATTTTCATCTTAAGTACCAAAGTACCATGTGTATAAATGTGTGTGTGTGTGTGTGTGTGTTATTTTCTACAGTAGTCCTAATTATACAACTGACATACTGCACTATATTGCAGCAACACATTTGTCAGCCCAGTGTTGGCAGTGTTGGGCTCATTAATGAAGGGTCAGTGAGCCCAGTTTTGTCTGTGCTGTGTGTTTAATAGGTCTAAAGCTGGTAAATGTGGCTCATTGATGAAGGGTCAGTGAGCCCAGTTTTGTCTGTGCTGTGTGTTTAATAGGTCTAAAGCTGGTAAATGTGCCTCATTGATGAAGCGTCAGTGAGCCCAGTTTTGTCTGTGCTGTGTGTTTAATAGGTCTAAAGCTGGTAAATGTGGCTCATTGATGAAGGGTCAGTGAGCTGATGTTGCCCTGTTGTTCTGCAGGACTGCGGTGCCGACTGTGCGAAGTTCCAGAAGAGTGAACTGGAGCACAAGTTCAACCGGCGCGCTCTGGAGCGGCCCTACACGTCCCAGCACTCGTGGGGGAAGACGTACGGAGAGCACAAGCGCCACCTGGAGTTCAGTCATGAGCAGTACAGGGAGCTGCAGAGATACGCTGCTGAAGTGGGCATCTTCTTCACCGCCTCAGGAATGGACGAGGTGGACATTGTCTTACTTCACTCTTTTATTTTAACCAGTTGCTCGGTTATCTTTTTGCCCCCTGTTCTTTCTTGATCAGGTTGTTTTTGCAAATGTAAATGAGCTCTGTTCTGATTCGCCGCTCGTTCAAAAAGCAGTCTGGGATGAAACACACACTATAATGTTAGTGTGAATGGGGGGCTAAACTGATGTTGTATCATCTTTGATTGCTATTTGTAGATACGTTGATGGATAGATAAACAGATGGGTGGTGGGATGGATGATATATAGCTGGATGGGTGGATGGATAGAAAGGTAAATGGGGGGAAAAGAGATGGATGGATGGATGGATGAACTAATGGATTGATTGATGGATGGATAAAAAGATGGATGAAGGATGGATGGATGGATACACGAGTAGATGATAATGATAGATGGTTGGTAGATAGAAGGATGGATAAAAAGATAGAATGATGGTTAGATGGGTGATAGATGCATGGATAGACTGATGTATGATGAATGTATAGACAGATGTATGATGGATAAATGGATAAACAGATGGAATGAGGGATGATGGATAGATGGGTGCTAGATGGATGGATGGATGATGGATTGACAGATGTGGGATGGATGGATTGACAGATGTGGGATGGATGGATAGACCCATGTATGATGAATGGATGAATAGACCGATGTATGATGGATAGGCCGATGTTTGATGGATGGATAGATAAACAGATGTATGTTGGATGGATAAACTGATGAATGAATGAATGAATGGATAGATGGATGGATAAACAGTTGGATAGATGGATGAAGGAAAGATGGGTAGATGATTAAACAAGAGGTCTGTAGGGCAGAGAAAGGCTGATGTAAAGGCGGAGAAAGGCTGATGGAAAGGCGGGGAAAGGCAGAGAAAGGCTGATGGAAAGGCGGAGAAAGGCGGAGAAAGGCTGATGGAAAGGCGGAGAAAGGCTGATGGAAAGGCGGAGAAAGGCTGATGTAAAGGCGGAGAAAGGCTCATGTAAAGGCGGAGAAAGGCTGATGTAAAGGCTGGTGTAAATGATGGTGTAAAGGCTGATGTAAAGGCTGGTGTAAATGATGGTGTAAAGGCTGATGTAAAGGGCTTTCAGGCAGGTTTCAAATGTCTTCATGAGCTGATTAAACTGGGCTAAATGAGCTTTTCTCTCTTTTCTTTGTTTATTGTTTTTAGATGGCTGTAGAATTTCTTCATGAACTCAACGTCCCTTTCTTCAAAGTCGGCTCCGGCGACACCAACAACTTCCCCTACCTCGAGAAAACAGCTCAGAAAGGTTCGCTGTGATTCATTTGGCACAAAGAAACAATATGAATCATTTATAATTGATCATAATCAATCATAACATTCCAAAGTCGATTCAGTTGAAATGTTACCTTCATTTTTAGACCTAATAATTTTTTTTTTAATTCTATGAAATGACCCGTGTCTGCTGGAGTCATTAACGTTCTGTAATGTAAGACAGCAGAAGCGTGTTTGAAGTGTTAGTTTGTGTCGTCAGGTCGCCCCATGGTGGTCTCCAGTGGGATGCAGTCTATGGAGACGATGCGGCGAGTGTATCAGACGGTGAAGAAGCACAACCAGAACTTCTGCATCCTGCAGTGTACGAGCGCGTACCCGCTGGAGCCCGAGGACGTCAACCTGCGCGTCATCACGGTCAGACACGCGGGCGTGTGCACCACTCGCTGCCCGTTATTAACCCTTTACACTCCTAAAAAACCTACACATTAGTTTCATAGTAGATACTGAATAACTGAACAGAGTTATCGAATAATTCATAGGAGTTAATGAATAATTCATATTGGTTACTGAATAATTAGGAGTAGTTACTGAATAAATCACATTGCTAAATAATTCATAGTAGTTACTGTACTATAGTAATTCCTAGTAGATAAAGTATAATTCTTAGTATTTACTGAGAAATTCATCGTGGATACTAAATAATTCATTGCATATCCGAATAGTTTGCGGTAGTTGTTGAATAATTCATAGTAGTTACTGAATTATTCATAGTAGTTATTGAATAATTCATAGCAGATAGTGAATGATTCATTGTGGCTACTGAATAATGAATCTTAGATGAAGAAGATTAATATCTGAATAAAAAGCCGCAGATTCAAGATGCAATTTTACACTTACAAACGGAAATTAAACAATAATTCATATTATAATTTTTATTAGAAATACTAATAGTGTTTATGTACAATTCTTCTTTTTTCCTTGTTGTTCTTGTTGTTGTTATTGTTGTTGTTGTTGTTGTTGTTGTTATTATTATTATTATTATTATTATAGTTTTTATAATGTTTTTACTAATTTATATACAATGATGTACAGGATTGTATGAAATACTAGTAATTTATGAGTCAGTAAACATGGTCAGACGCTGCCAGCCGCAGGTCAGGACAGTCAGTGAAGAATCCTCTCTGTTCTGACCAACAGGAATACCAGAAGGAGTTCCCGGACATTCCGATTGGCTACTCGGGCCATGAGTCGGGCATCAGCATCACGGTGGGTGCGGTGGCTCTGGGGGCAAAGGTGGTCGAGCGTCATGTGACCCTGGATAAAAGCTGGAAGGGTAGCGACCACGCGGCGTCGCTGGAGCCCAGCGAGCTGGCCGAGCTGGTGCGGGCAGTCCGGACTGTGGAGAGAGCACTGGGCAGCGGGGTCAAACGCATGCTGCCCTGTGAGGTGCCCTGCCATGATAAGGTCAGTCAGGATGGACACTGAACATCATTTTCTCTGTCATTTTTCTATTTAAGGTCTGGCTGAAATGCTCAGCGTGAATGGGCTGGGCTAAACTGCCGCAGGCTGCATAGGCCGGTATTTGTAAATGCTTTGGTTTTTGTGACATCAAAAAAACAAATTCATTTGTTCATTCATTCAGGCATTCATCATCTTTAGCTGCTTAGTCCAGAGGGGAGCAGTTGGGAGAGCAGAGAATCCCCCGCAACTTCCTCCAGCTCATTCTGGGGGACCCCGAGTTGCTCCCAGGCCAACTCTGAGATATAATCCCTCCAGCAGGTCCTAGGACGACCTCATGGGGGCGTCCCAGTAGGACATGCCTGGTGAACCCCCACCGGGAGGTATCCGGGGGCATCCTGATCAGATGCCCGAACCACCTCAACTGGCTCCTTTCAATGTGGAGGAGGAGCAGCTCTACTCTGAGCTCCTCCATGATTGAGCTCCTCACACTATCAGTAGAGTGTAGCCCACCACCCTGTAAGCTAATTTCCTCCACTTGTATTTGCCATCTCATTTTTTCGGTCATTACCCACAGCTTATGACCATAAGTAAGGATGTAGACCAAACGGTAAACAGAGAGCTTTGCCTTATGGCTCATCTTCCTCTTCACCCCTACAGTCCGGTACACATAACTGCTGCCGTCTGTCCCAGCCTGTGCCGATCTTACCATCCCTCTTCCCATCACTTGTAAACAAGATCGCAAGATACTTAAACGCCTCCACCTGGGGCTGGTCCTTTCCCCCTACCTGGTGTGGGCGTGCCATCCTTGTCCAGGCTAGGACCAGCACTCGAAGGTGCTGATCCGCGTACTGGCCGCTTCACACTCGGCTGCAAAAACAATTAATTCAGCTGTTAATTCATCTCTCTCTCTCTCTCTCTCTCTCTCTCTATAGCTGGGTAAGTCCGTGGTGGCTAAAACGGCGATTCCTAAGGGAACGGAGTTGACCCTGGACCTGCTGACGGTGAAGGTAGCCGAACCGAAGGGTGTGGCTCCTGAGGACATTTTCCAGCTGGTGGGGAAGAAGGTGCTGGTGGACATCGAGGAGGACGAGAGCGTGACTGAGAGAGCTTCATTGAGAACATCGAGGAGGTCGAGAGCGTGACTGAAGAGAGCTTCATTGAGAACATCGAGGAGGTCGAGAGCGTGACTGAAGAGAGCTTCCTTGAGAACATCGAGGAGGTTGAGAGCGTGACTGAAGAGAGCATTATGAACATCGTGGAGGACAGGACCGTTATTACCCTGGCGGGACAATAACAAACTCGTTTCTCAGTAAGTCGAATGATTGACCAATCCTGGCCCCACCCACAAATGCACTCTTTTTGTAGGTACTGTTGCTAGGCTGGTCATGTTTTACAGAACACTGATTAAAATCCCATTAAACCTAATGAGAAACTGTCGAACAGACTCAGTTTATATCACAATACCTACATTTATAGTACATAAACTTGAGTTGAGTTCTACAGTTTCCCTTTAGGTTGAATGAATAACTGACTCTAAAGGTATTTATTGTGATATAAACTGAGTTTGTTCTACAGTTTCTCATTAGGCTGAAAGGGATTTTAACCAGCTTGCAGTAGTTGCTAATGCTGTGTAAGAACTCATTTGTGGGTGGAGCATTAAAAGTCCAGTATAAGCTCAAACTGCACTCTGTCCAATGGAAAAGTCTTCTCCTGTTGGGCAGGTTCACCTTCTGGCTTAACTTGTCTGGCTAACTGTTTTGTGAAATGCCTCTCAGAGCACTTTGTGGGTTGATCATTTGCCAAACACTGAAATAAATGACAAATTCAACAAAGTTGACTGTTGTTTCATCCTTATGTTGCCTGTGTGTTAATTAAAGCCAGATTAATTAATCAGCCATTTTTTATGGAGTGGTGTGCTGGGGCAGCAGCATCTCCATTGCTGACAGGAAGAGACTGAATAAGATCATCAGGAAGTCCAGCTCTGTCCTGGGATGTCCTCTTGACCCAGTGGAGGTGGTGGGGGACAGGAGAATGAGGACTAAGCTAACAAACATGCTGAAGAACCTGTCCCACCCCATGCACCGCTCTCTGACAGCACTGAGCAGCTCCTTCAGTGCCTGGCTGCGGCACCCGCGGTGCGTGAAGGAGAGATACCGCAGGTCCTTCCTCCCAGCCGCTGTCAGACTCTATAACAGTCACAGCACTCAGTAGACAGTAGTTTACAATTACTTTCCATGTGCAAGAACTCTCAACATCACTGCCACAGCACTTTACTGTGTGCAATATCTCAATCCACCATGCGTAGTATATTCACTGCGGATCACTGTCAACATGTTTACCACCATTATGTGCAATTATGTCAAGTGCAGTATTTCTCCATTTATTTACTGTTTATTTATTTGCTATTTTATTCACTGTGCAATACTCACTACAATACATACATTTCTACATTTCTAAATTTAAATTTAATACTTTGTATATTTTTCTTATAATCTTTGTACATATACATATATATCTTTATACTGTTATTGTTTATTCTATTTAAATATTGTTTGTATATTTCCTGCTGCTCTGTCTTCTGTGCTGCTGTAACACCGCAAATTTCCCTGTTGTGGGATTAATAAAGGATTATCTTATCTTATTAGTGTTTGCCCTTCCAATCAAAAGTGAGATGATGATGGATTTCAGCCTTAAATATTTTTAAAGGTTTGTAAAAATCCACATAAATTCTGTTCTAAATTTGCAGCGCAACATAAGTTATGGTTAAAAAAACAAAATTAAAATACACTCAAAAACTTTTGCATTTCTGACTATTTATTTTATATTCTGACTACCATGTCAGTGTCACTGCTGTATGTAGAATTGTCCACCACCCACATAATCTCTCGTCAACAGCCAATAGCGATCAGGCATAACAATATGACCACCTCCTTGTTTCTACGCTCATTGTCCACTTTATCAGCTCCACTTACTATATAGGTGCACTTTGTAGTTCTACAGTTACAGACTGTAGTCCATCTGTTTCTCTGCATACTTTGTTAGCCCCCTTTTACCCTGTTCTTCAGTGGTCAGGACCCCCATGGACCCTCACAGAGCAGGTACTATTTGGGTGGTGGATTATTCTCAGCACTGCAGTAACACTGACGTGGTGGTGGTGTGTTAGTGTGTGTTGTGCTGGTCTGAGTGGATCAGACACAGCAGAGCTGCTGGAGTTCTTAAACACCTCAGTGTCGCTGCTGGACTGAGAATAGTCCACCAACCAAAAATATCCAGCCAACAGCGTCCTGTGGGCAGCGTCCTGTGACCACTGATGAAGGACTAGATGACCAACACAAACTGTGCAGCAGCAGATGAGTGGACACAGTGTTTAAAAACTGATCCACTCAGACCAGCACAACACACACTAACACACCACCACGTCAGTGTTAGCTTTTGGTGTGTATGTATATATATATATATATATATTTTGGTAACATTTGAAGCCTTTTACTGCAGGGCTCCAGTCTGCGCATGCGACAGATCACGGGACACGCACGTACACGGTTTAGTCATTTTATTGGTTGTGTGTCAGCACGATTCCCCCATCGATTGGACGACGCCGTTGTCAATCATAAATTCACGTCGCCGATTGGCTCGGCTGGGTCTCTTTCCCCCTTTAGCCCCACCCTCCTCCTCCTCCGCTGACGCCGACCGTTGAAGAAGGCAGTAGGGGGTTATAGCGAACCGGACGGCCATTTCAGTCGCTGTTAGAGCCAGTAAGCTGTAGCTTTAGGGTCATTCAGGCAGACATGGACGATTTCGACATGCTGGGGAACGCGGGGAACGGCGTCGGGGCGGAGGAGGACCCCGCGGCAGCTTTCCTGGCCCAGCAGGAGAGCGAGATCGCGGGTATCGAGCAGGACGAAGGCTTCAGCATCCTGGACGGCGGAGAGGTTCCCTCTCACCTCGCCGCTGACCAGCACAACGGTTCGTTTCAGCCAGACAATAAACTGATTTCCTCTCATTTTCACTTCACCCTAAACGGTCGCCGGATTTTCTGCAGTGTTTATGTCCGCGTTGGGCCGAATGAGGCTCGAATTTTCCCGTTCCACCTTAAATGCCACAGCAGTCAGTTCTGCTGCGAACGGATTCCCGAATGTAACTGCCACATCATTTAAGGTGGAATGGGGAAACGTGACGATAAGCTACGAAGCTTCATTTTTCGAATTTTCTCGTTCCACCTTAAAAGCTGCAGCAGTTACAGTCTATTGCGGAATGACTCCGTAAAGTAACTATTATTGCATTTAAGGTGGAACGAAAAATTATAACGATACGATGCGAAGCTGAAGTCAGGCTCTTGTTCCAATTATTCCTGTTCCTCCTTAAATGGTGCAACTCGGGCACCGGAACGTAACTGCTGCACCATTTAAGGTGGAACGGGAAAATTCGAACAAGAAGCTGGCGAATAGGAAGCCAGCTTCAGCTTTGAGCTAGCTGGCTTCAGCTAAGCCGGAGCTAGCTTAGCTGAGTAAGCGTTTTTAGGCTTTGTTACCCGCAGCTGGGTTTAGTTTAGCTTTATTTTTGGCTTCTTTGAGCTGGTCTAGGTGAGAATTTGGGCGTCCAGGCTGAGCTAAAGCGGCGAAGGAAGGCCGAGTGGACTCTGCTCCCTTCGAGGCCGACACACAGCGGTGTAGATGGTTTTAATATCGGACATTTCTCTGTGTTTTCCGAGATAAAATGCTTAACGCTGTCGTTTGTCACTCGAGAGGAGTCGGAGGATGAACTGTAGTCAAATATCGCTGTTTTCGAAACGGTTTTCACGGTAAATTTTCGCCGATTCAGTAACGCAGAGCCTTCAGTAATTAAGGGATCGTCTGATAAGTGTGTGACGTCATTAAGGGACCGTCTGAAAAGTGCGGGTGTTTTTTGTTGGTAAAGCTGACTGTTATGGTCCCTTAGCGCACAGATTCGATTCACTGCCATGACATTTTAGATTTCCCCACGATTCGGTTTGTTTATTTGACCTTGAGTTCAGACTTATTTTAATATATACACTGAATGCACCAGTGTGACTGTAACTCTTAAAAAAAAAAAAAGATGGTTCTTTAAAGGTTTATAAGGAAAGATGAAATGGTTCTATGTATTATATTTCTAATTTGGTCTATGCGATTTTCTTATATGGTTTTAAATTAGTATTTAAATTAGTACTCATAATTTCTTGTATTACTGTTGAGCTTTATCACCTGTCTGTGAATCACTGAGCTGCCACCGGCAAGAAAAGTGCGAAATAAATAAAGATGATTTATTATTATTATTATTATATCAAACCATTAACACTTAAAGAACCATTTGCATGCTTAAAAGTTTCCTTGCATAGTGAAGCAGTTCTTCAGATTGATGGAGAATGTGTTGCATATGGTTCTATCTCGCTCCAAAAAGGGTCGCGATGTCAAGCTTGTTACAATAGAAGAATCCTTTTTTGGTGCTATGTAGAACCATTTCCAAGGTTCTTTATAGAACCATCAATGCAAAGAACCTTTTAAGCATGCAAACGGTTCTGTATACGACCACTGTCTTTACTAAAGAACCCTTAAAGAACCTTATTTTTTAAGAACGTACAATAAAACACTGTGCCGTGTTTATTTGGGCACTTTTATTGTCTAAAATAGCTCTAAATAAATAAATAGTTTTTAGCTCTGTACGTTGAATATTAAATAGTGTCAGATATTTTGTGTCCCATATTTTCCAGGTGTATATCTGCCGATGTCGATACATGAACATTTCCAAAATGCAAAACTGGGACTGAACCTACCTGGATTAGCTTTACTTTTTTTGTAGGTTAACAGATGCATGAAATGCAGATGTTTTGGTGCATGAGGCCAGTGTCACCTAAACGTTTACCTCTTCTGGGGTACAAATACTGCGTGTTGAAGTATCGGCCAAATCTAAGTATCTCTCCGATGCTGATCATGTTTTTTAGGCGAATAATCCTCCAATACCTTTATGATCCTGATATCATCATATTATCTTCATGCTCAGTTATAGTTAAATACAGTATTGATTCATAATCGTATCCGATCCTGATCGATTCTGGTGTTCCAGTATCACTACAGTTCAGATCAGTGCGTCACTGAATTGCTGCACTTGAATAGCTGTAGTGGAAATAGCTACCATGCCAGTGTCTGATGTTATAGCAGTAGAGCCCATCAGGACACTGTGAAGCTGTTCTGAGTTGCTGTAGGTCAGAGGAGCCCAGCTGTGGTCCTGGAGGGACAGTGTTCAGCACAGTTTGCTGATTTTCTGCTCTGACATGTCTGATTCAGCAATTCGTTAACGGCCCTTTTAGTAGGGAAATCGGCAGAGCTTTCGGGTCGACCTGAGCAGGACTGGGTTTCGAGATCTGATGGTTTTACAGTTTTTCAGAAAAGCTACTTTGACCACTTTTGCAAATGAAATGGAGAATTTGTGTGAAGTTAAATGAAACCTTGTGTTGTATGAAGATTCTAGGAAGAACCTTCAGACTAGGTAAAGAACATTTTACGTTATATGAAGGTTCTTTTTAAAAGGTTCTTCACATTCACACGTCTCATATGCAGACATGGTTCTTTACTGAACTGAATTGGTTCTTCTGTGGCAGCACTTGAAGTGTCCCGCATAAGAGGAGAACAGAAAATGAGGAAAGTTAAGGAAGGGAAAATAAAAATAATAATTTACAAAGGAATATAAAAAAAGATGAACAAAAATAAGTTATGAATAAAATAAATGTGTGTGTGTGTATATATATCGACAGCGATTACATTTATTTATTTATTTTTTTTTCTAAACTGAAGTTGAGAACATTTTTTTTCTTTTCTTGAAAAGCACAATTTTTTTTTTTTTTTTTTCAAAATATTGGGGAAAGAAATGAAAACCGAAATATGAAGTGTCCCATGAGTTTTTCATGCGCCTTGTTGATAAAAATAAATCAATGTTAAATACAGCAAATTAACGGTAACTTTCCATCCCAGTCATTAATCAGCCAGTAGTATTCAATAAGGTATTAAATCTAGTGGTTATTGTGTATATATAACGCTCTGTAAGCGTGTTATTAACATCAGCCGTCTCAACAAAGACAAACCGTAACAGTGGTTTAACTTCACTTCCCCCAGTTTGGCAGCAGGTCTTTTTAAAGGCTTAAAAATGCTTTAACGTTTGAAGATTTGTGCGTCGTGTATTTTTCTTTTCGCAGAAATGGATTTCAGTCTCTTCCTTCTCCTTTCCTGTCTCTGCGCTCTGGCTGAGTTTTTCTGAATAAATCATGAGGTGAAGTTCTTTCGTTACAGCCACTGAAACGTGCAGGCTTACCTGCTGAAAGTGAGGGGAGCAGCGTTGAGGGTTTATATACTGCGTAAACATTCCTGTATAGTATTTAATGTAAGATATTTGCTGTGTATTGAGGGAACTGTTGAAATACTCAATCACCCTGTAAACGCGCGTTGTGTAATTTTTCCATCTGTAAAGGAAGACGGCAGGAAAGAGTCAGCAAAAGTAGAGACTCAAACTGCTGAAGAAGGGCTGAGAGAATGGACGCACTGTTTCCTGTGACATATATCATCGCTCAAGCATTTGCTTTCTACCTCTCATTGACTTTAATGGCCTTTTGTAAATGGTATCCAGGGATGTTGGAGTGCTTTGCTTAATAAACTGTTGAGGTAGACCGCAGATTGATTAGACGCTAAACATCTCGTTGTTGAATTCCAGATTAACCCAGTATTTTTTTTTTTCCCCCCAACGAAAACATGTAAACGCAGCGAAGTTACCCAGCCAGCTAACTGTGAAGTCTTACTTTGCTGAGCACCGTTGAGTTGTGTTGTGTTGTATTGTATTGTGTTGTGTTGCTGGTTAAACCCCTGTTTCCTCACAGAGCTTGTCTTTCTGTCTGTTTTCAGGAGGAGCACTGAACGGAGATCTGCATGAGGTAAAACTGCTTGTCTCCAGTCAAATTCAGACACTTTACTCTTGTATGTTATTTGTTGTTCAGTGTCATGATATTCGACCTCACTTCAAAGAATAATTTGTCAAGATAATGCCTGGGTGGACGTCTGTCGACTGTGGTGATGGTATTAATGACTAGTGGTGCATGTATTGCAAGCAGTTTCGCAATTGCAATATGTAGCAATACAAACCCTTTTTTTGTTTTATATGTTGTACAGTTCTAGTGAATATTAATGAATGTTATTCCCAGTTATTCATATTGAGTCACTGTTGTAATTATTCTTCCTAAACTCTCAAATGATTTTTTTTTCTCAAATACCGAGAGCCAAATTGAGCAGTTTTCTTCCAGTATCCAACAAGTAGTAATGAAGTTCATTAATTTGTTTGTTCTGTCGTTATAAATGAACTCGCAGCGAAATATAAATTGAATGTGATTTGTCTTTTCTGTTCTGCAGTCTCACCATGTTGTCCCAGTATGTAACAGTGTTAGGTACTTTTAAAGGCTTAAAAATGCTTCAAAATAACATTTGAAGGTTTGTGTCATGTATTTTTCTTTTCAGAGAAATGGATTTCAGTCTCTTTCCTCACCTTTCCTTTTTCTGCACGTTTTATTCCCATCATGGTACTCAGTTGTCTTCATTGATTGAAATATTGTGTTAAGCTGCACTGAAAGTTCAAGGACATTTTTTGGCAAGTTGAATACATAGATTCCTGTTTCAGGACGAACAGTACCTCTACATGTGGGTCTTGGTGTGAATGTTTGAGAACCCCTTAATGGACAGGCTTAACAACATGGTTGGTTTAGACAGCGAAGTTCTTGTCTGGTTTAGAACTTTGACCGTGACCAGTTAGTGTAAATAGGGAGTTCTGTAAATGTAGAAGAATGCATTGTGGTGTTCCACAAGGCTTTGTTTTAGGGCCCCTACTATTTGTTGACTAAAATAATAAAGCTTCTTCAGGTGAGTTTTGAGAAGCACTTATTCTTTTCCGCCAGTCACAGTAAACAAAGCCTTTTATTTGCCTTGGAGGAAAGTAATTCAAACTGTGCACTGTTGACCCAACAGAAAGTAAATCTGTGTGTTTGTGTTCTGTAGAGTAACGGTCCCTCTGACGCATACGCTGCCATCTCCAGCGCCGACCGCCTGCAGGCAGAGCCAGAGAGTCTGCGCAAGTGGAGGGAGGAGCAAAGCGAGAGACTGGAGGCGCTGGGTAATGAGGGTGGGGTTTGGAAGAGGGAGGGGCAGCTGGGGTTGGCAGTAGGGCAAAAATAGTGTTATAATGTAAGGGTTCTCACCCTCGATTACATTAATAAACAAATAATCAGCTGGTTATGTGGAATATATTTTTATTTTTTATGTGTGGGTCATTCTACAGAAATGTCCATTCCATTACAGATATATTACACTTGAAAAAGCCCATTAGGGTTACAGTTTATTTATATTTTAAAATAAAACAGTTATTTTAACAGTTACACCTTCTTGAACCTTTAATTTTGCAATATTGGTTTTTGAATCAATTATCTAGAACTCCAAGCACCTCAGAAGAACACGTTTTTCTGCAATTTTAACTACAGTAGTCTCTACGTGACTGTGGAATATATGATTTAAATGACATAAAGAAAACACATGCCAAAAAAATATTATAAAATATATAATGAAAGTTGTGGTCCCCAGGAGTCGTGACACTGGTGTTACTGCAAAACAACTCTTATTTTGAAATAAAAATCACACTGATGACATCACTCGACTTCCTTTTACATATTTTATGAAGGTCTATGAAGAAAAGCACATGGTGAGTCCACTGTGTCTTTCAGTTATCAGAGATTTTCTCATTTAGCTCATGATTTCATATGAAGCTTTTAGCTGAAGTCACTGGTGTGACCTTTATTCTATCAGTAATTGTGAAAAAATAGAATACAAATGGATTAATTTACATATTTTAGTGGATATTCTATGATAACATGTGGTTTGATGTTCTGTAGCAGCCATTTCATCTGCATTTTTCATTAAAAATGTCTCTGGTGTTCCCTTTCTTACGTGTAACACCAATGACGATCAGGAACACCAGTGGCTCCTATGGAGAGATAGAAAGGTGGACGTTTCTGTAGAATGACCTGAACTGAACAATGATGAGACAGTGCAACTTTTAAAAAAAACTTCTTTGGAAAACTAGGAAAGCGTGAAAAGACTTTGTTAAAACAGTGGCAGACCACGAACCACATAAGCACCTCTATCTTGAGATTACTCATGAGAATCAGTGGGTTAACTCGCAAATCCAACGTTGTGAGAACGGCGCTTTGTTGTCCATTTGCAGATGCTAACTCACGCAAGCAGGAAGTGGAGTGGAAGGAGAAGGCGAAGGTGGAGCTCGAGGAGTGGCACGCCAGACAGGACGAGCAACTAGCTAAGACCAAAGTCAACAACAGGTATACCACACACACCGATAGGCGCACAACATGCAGACCAGCAGCAGGTACACCACACGCTCATCAGCTCGTAGGTCCCCAGTTTACTGGCCAGTTGTAGTAACAGATGTACTGCACTAAACACAAATCACAACCAAAGTAGATAGGATTTAACTTGCCTCTCAATCTTCAGCTCATAATTGGATTATAGAGGAATCTAAGAGTAACTGGAGTCACTTTGGATCATAATAGGCCACATAGTTGGAAAGTACCTGAAGAATGATTGTAGCGTTTGTTTAATATATATACATTTCCAATTAGGTCTATCAAATTGGCTATTTTATCAGATACACCTACCATATAGGTGCGCTTTAGGTTTACGGTCATAGTCTGTAGTTCATTTCATCTGCCCCCTTTACCTCCATACATCACTGGAAAGAGATCACCACAGGCCGTAGGACAGAATGGCCAGTGATCGTAGGTAAGAGTACCTGTTAAACTTGTTTACTCAGTGTAGATCTCTGTAAGCAGAGTTTCTGTAACATAAATGTGTCAAACGACTGATTTCCCTGAATATTTCCGTCTCTGCTTTCTACTCTGTGCCTCTAGAGGTGTAAGTTTGACTTCAGTTCAGTTGTGAATTTTCTTTTTTTATTATTTATTGATTATTTTTTAAAAGAAATGTTTCAGTTTATCCTGAAATCTCAAATTTCACCAAGTTTAGATTTGATTTCTTTAATACGATTCAGCATTATTTTTAAAGTAACACTGAGTAGACAAATGTAAATAGAGGAGCTGTTCCATAGTAGTGAAATATGGACAATAAAACAATGTACCAAGGCTAACATTCGAAAATACACAAATTATAGTCTTCGTCAAACAGTCAGCACTGTGTGTTTTTAATATTGTTATACGTGGAATCAGTGCAGTTGAATCTGGGGCTGGGTATCGAAGTTCAGTACTTGGGTACCGTTTATCAATAAGAGAGTCCTTATAAAGGGCCTAGGAATGGTTTAGAATGTGTTTATTAATGGTTATGAATTAGGTCATACACGTCTCAATCATTAATAAACAGTTGCAACACAAAAAGGCAGCAGTGAGCTGTTATATCTAATAAACAGGAATATCTGATCAAGCAATCATGCTGATTGATAAAAGACAAAAATCAGTAACCAGGAATATCTGAGGTTTAACTGTTTTGGTGAATATGGACCTGCTATCTGGCAAGCAACAGGTCACTATTGCCCCTTTTATATGTGTGTGTGCTACATGACCTAATTAATAACCATTAATAAACTAATTTTAAACCATCCATAAATTCTTTAATAAAGTTTGTCTCAAAGAAAAGTGGTACAAAGACTTTCATCATACAGACCTAATTACTTCACTTGTTCAGTATCAAATTTCATTACCGAAGTTGGGGTTTTCAGCAGATCTGACCCAATGAACGTGCTTGTTCCAAAATGGAGAGTGCTGATTGGCTGTCTGTTCTCGCCCTTTGCACTTCACACTGTATAGTCACCGCCATTTGAGGACTTAACCAGCGTGACTGCACTGCGCGATGCCTTCAGTTTGCTGTGCTTTGTGAATGATTCACCCGCAAGACGCAACAGAAGCCGAGAGACGAGAGACACACAGACCTTTACTTCAGTGTTTCAGACTCCAGGCTTGGAGCCGCTGCGCTGTATAGTTCAGTGTTTCTCTCTGCTGTTCACACCTCGTTCAGCTCAAGAAGGGATTAATTAGCTAATAATATCAGGTATTTTAACCAGGAAACCACAGTTATGCAGTGCAGGGGTTTCAGGACTGGAGCTGAACTCTGAACTAACTAAACCAGCAAACTTACAGAATCACGTCTGTCGAAACACGACGTCGTTTTCTGACTCACGACATTCAGTCTGATATTTAACGTTTATGTTTCTCCAATCAAACATCATTTAAATCTCCAGACACAGAGAGTAAAGTTATACCGGCGGTCTGCAGCTCCGTTAGGGGGGCGACTGTTTATCTCTCGGCTGTTAACATCAGCTAAAGTTATCTAAAGGCTATCATTGATCACATCTGTGTTAATTAGCTGATGTCGTTCCTCCTATGATGACAGAGTTTATCTCCTCTTTATGCAACACCATGGGGTCCTTTACCCACCCTGACGTGAAGAGCCGGTGGGTCTCCAGAATAGGGGGAGGGGCTGAGTATGAGATAAATGTATCAGGAAAACACAAATTTCGTAGCTTTTCTGCCAGTTTAATAGGGACCAGGAGTTCAGGGGAAACTGTGCAAGGATCACAGCCTATTCAATCGTCTCTGTCGAGGTGACGTTTTTTCTCTTCCAAAGTAAGGAGGGTCATTTTAGCCATATTTCACCTCTAGTTATGTTCGTGCGGAGCAGCGAAGCCAGAAATTCGGTCCCAAATATGGCAGCCACAAGAGGGAAATCACGTGACTGAAACCCTCGGATAATGCATTCCATATCGCTGTTGTCGGAAGAAAACCTTGTATCTCCATTTTTGTCCTAAATCAGTTTTTGTCATCTGAAACTACTATTATGGAGATACAAGGTTTTTTTGCAGACAACAGCGATATGTGTATTAACATCACTGCTTACTGACTAAGTTCACAAGACAGTTTGGTATTTGTGCGTGTTGGAGGTTTATTAAATGGGGGGGAAACTCGATTCAATTCATTATTTTTTTCATAGAATGAAGCAAGAAAAAAAAACAAACCAGAGTTTTAAGGAAACCAGTCACTGTCCTACTATATCTTGTATGTCATCTTTCTGTCAGATGCTGTTCAGTGGACAGCGGAGCATGTCCGTCAACAAATCGTTCATTGAAATCAGTTGTAAGAGATGCATTTTTGACGCAATTCAAAAAGAAGGTATTAAAAAAAGTGTCGTTCAGGAATATCCAGCCCCAGAATCACCATCTTCAGATCGATTAGCCCCATTTATCAATGCATTTGTTCACCCCTGTGATAGTGTGTAGGGCAGCTCTTATCTTTTTTGGGGTGTGTGTGTGTGTGTGTGCTCGCCTCTTCTGTGTATATACCTGTCTGTCTGTCTGTCTGTCTGTCTGTCTGTCTGTCTGCGTCTGTGCTGGCTCCACTGTATGAGGTGTTTTCTTCTCCTTTCACTGCTTTCTCTCTTCTCTCCTGATTGGCTGCTCTCCTCTGGGATTCCCAGGGTTTTGGATGAGGATTTCTACAAACAACCCTTCGCTCACCTGATTGGTTATGTGTATGTTGCTCAACTAACATCCTTCCTTTCTTTCTTTCTTTCTTTCTTTCTTTCTTTCACATGCATCTCTCTCTCTTTTTTAACACTCCACCAGTCCACCTCTGCTTATACTCTTTCACTCGTTCCATTCATCGCTTCCAAAAAACAAGCTGTTTTCCATTTGCGTCATGTTTTTAAAACGACAGCAGTTTCGTTTGTCGGCTTGAAGATACTGACACTGTCACGCATGCCCTTCATCTGTGCTTACAAGTTTGAAAAGGATTCTGAACTGTGTTTTTAGCCATTTGTGTGGTCTCTTATTTTTTTTGGTGACAAAGTTGTCGTTTTCTTTTCTTCATCTTCACTCGTATGGCTTTGTCATGTGCTTTCGTCATGTTTCCACCAATTCATCTTTTCGTTTATGAATAGACACTGTGTGCCTAAATTGACTAGTATTGCAGTTGTTCTTTAACCCTAGTATAATATATTGTTAGAGCAGTAATTTTAGCTGTGGTAGTTTAGACTTGTTTTCAGCAACTGCGTGTCCAGCAAACGCCAGATCCCAAATGTAAACCGATTTGGTCATAGTTTCTACAGATTCTGATACTGAAATTTACCAGGTTCTTTCTCAGAAAGGGGTCAAGTAGGCACCCGATTGCTTCATACAGTTGCTAGAAGATAAAATTAACTTATTACATCTTATGACAGTTAATATAAACTGAATTTACTATATATTGTTGCTGTCGGAACAAAACAAAAAGCAGCTTTACAGAAGAAGGAAAAATGTTCTTTCAACACGTAACAGGCTTTTGTTCTAGGTCATTTTGGACCATTCCTATTGACCCGTTATATGAAATTTTCACACATTTTCAAAATATGTTAAAAAACATGGACAAACATCCAAAGCGGAGGTGCAAGGTTTTGTTACGAGAGCATCAATATGTGTTAAGTAAAATCTTTGACTTGATATTTGCTTTTCTTCTGGGTCGATGGTTTGCTGGACACCTTGGTGCTGTTAAATAATGGCGGTTAGTTAGTGTGGCTGTAGATTTAGTTGGGTTAGTAGACTGTACTATGTAGTTATCTGAGCAGCTAGCTGCTGGCTTAGTTGCGCAGCCCTCATGTTAACCATTCTTCTGCCCAGCGTCCAAAGCCATCTGTACTGCGGATGGTTTTCTTTCACTTAAAGAGGGTGGATAAACCACCTCGTGCATGACATGCTGAAAGAAAAGGATTTCTGAACCATTGCTTACTGTTTTATTTTTATTTTTTTCCTCCCATTGTAGAGTTAGTGCGGGGCAATATACTGTCTGAGTAAATTGCATTTTCAGTGTTATATTTGATAGATAATGAGCGTTGTGTCAATGACAGAGTGCTCATTACTGTTTTATGGGTGTTGTGCTTGACATAGTGCCCATAATCCATAATATAGGACTGTCACAGTTGCCAAGCGCCTTTTTTTTATTTATTTTTTTCTATTTTGTTCTATTTTGTGCACTTTGCTCATGGTGTCCAGGACTGCTGGGTGCTTTACATGTCCAATTTTAAAAGAACAGTTCAAAACGCCTATAAAAATAAATATATAGTAAGTAAGCATTAAGTCTCCTAGTTCTGACTTGGGGAAAATATTGTAATATTTAATGTTAGCGATATCGCCCAGTACTAATGGACAGTAGCAAGTTGTGTCCGTTTGTTTGTTTTCTATCTTTTGTACATACCATTCAAAATGCTTTTCTTCCAGCATGACAGAAAATTTAAAGTAAGCAAAAAAAAAAATTTGATGAAGGCGAACATTTAGCAGTGGCTCTTAATCTGTCGGTGAAGGCTGCAAGCTAAGTTTAGCGATCTTAAGATGACTTGGGGTCTTTATTTGTTTGCTGTTTGTTTATTTATTCAGTTATTATTTTTGGGAAATGCATGCCTGCTTCGGTCATCTGCATAAATCTCATTTCTTTTCATTTTCTATATTATATCTGACTTGTGCTCTGTTTCTCCTTGTGTTTCTTTTCTCTATGCACCTTTTAAGCACTCATATTAACCATCCTTGCTACCGCCTAGACCAGTTAAGTAAAAAATCAGAAAAGAAATGATGATAATGACAAAACTACTAATGATAAAGAAACATTTAGGGGGACAAATTAATGATTGCAGATGGATACACAGAATGATAATTGCTGTATTGTTATGTTCAGAATGTTTCACTGCTAATATTAGCTAGATCCTGGATGTTGTTTTGTGGTGATGTGCTGGTGATTTTTTGGTCTTGTGCGTATGTGTAGTTGGGTTTGTGACCGTGAAACTCTCACTGGCTCTCATCCCCATTTTGCTCTGTGTGTGTATGTACGTGTGCGTGAGTCACCTGCGAGCTGGCCCGAGGCCGTGGCAGTAGGAGTGTGGGATTTGTGCTGGACAAGGACAGTCTGCCGTGTCGGTCGCCCTCATCTTCGACCGTAACATGGCGAAAACAAACATTTAGCTCTGAATAGCCACGACAGATTATCGTTATTAAATGCTTGGCTTGCCAGTCGTTCTCCCATGAGCTCTGTTTTATGGGGACTGCCATTGCTTGGCGCATACAGCTTCTGCACAGCGATTTGGTGGTTCAAACATATTTAAAAAAATAAAATAAAATAAACAAAGTTTATGTTGGCTGCCTGATGGAAAGAAACCCTGAAATTCAAACTCTTTAACCAACCAAATCGCTTTTAAAATCTACAGCACATTTTTTTTTTTATGAGCCATCCTTCTGTGTCAGAGGTTTTTACACTAAGCCTAGCCTGAACACTGTTTTGCAATATGGTAGGTGGGGAATGCCACAGATTTTTTTTTGTAACTCTTTCTTTTGTTGGATGTCTTTTAAATACATGGTATCCGTGTTGAGTGGGAACTGGATAGACACTGTTGGCCTTCAGACGCTTGCGCTCTCACTCTCTGGCCTCTCACCTCCTACCCAAAGCACCTCTACTAGCCGAAATGCTTGGTTATTCGTAGAGCCTGACCCATAGATCGATGTCAGGTAACTGCTGATATTGAGACACTGCAGATTTATCGGTTTTGATCATCTAGTTTTTGCTAGTTCCTCCATGATTTCTAGGTCTCCTATCAAGCACAATACCAGCAAGCTGGAACAAGTGAGACTAAGCCAGGTAGCCATCCATATGAAAGCCAGTGGTACTTTTTGGGGTACGTTTAAGGGCACCTGTCACTAAAACACATGAAGCATTTTTCGGCTAAAGCAGATCAAATTACACCACCTGTTTCAATATCGGTTTTACAAGCCCTCGTCCACATAGCCTCGTCATAGAAAACCAACAAAACGTAATATGTGGCCTAACTTTTGAATACAACTGTATGCACAGTGTTAACCTATCAGGTTCACTAGAGTCTGGATGTTGCTCATCTGTTAAGAACTGTTTATAAGCCCTCGAGACAGTTACCTTTAATCAGTACCTTACCTGTAATCATTATAACATGCTTAGAAAGGCTGTAATCGATAACGCTCCAATCTCTTAGGCACATACCCGTTTGTTCATTTTCTTAAACCTCTTGATCCAGCTAGGGTCGCGGTAGCAATAGGCAAAGCAGAGAATCCCAGATGACCCTGTCCCCCGCAGCTTCCTCCAGCTCATTCTGGGGGATCCCAAGCCAGTCCCAGGCCATCATAAGGATATAATCCCGCTAGCGGGTCCTAGGACGACCTCAGGGTCTTGTCCCAGTCGGCCATGCCTGGTAAACCTCCAACGGAAGGCGGCCAGTGAGCGTCCGGAGCAGATGCCTGAACCACCTCAACTGGCTCCGCTCAATGTGGCTCTACTTTGAGCTCCTCACCCTATCAAGAAGAGTGTAGCCCGCTACCCTGCGACGAAAGCTCATTTCCACTGCTTCTATCCATGATCTGATTCTTTCGTTATTACCCACAGCTCATGACCATAGGTGAGGGTTGGGATGCAGACCAACTGGTAAACGGAGAGCTTTGCTTTATAGCTCAGTTCCTTCTTCACCACTGCAGTCTGCTATAGGGACCGCATTACTGCTGCCGCTTGTCCCGTCCTGCAGCCGATCTCACAATCCCTCTGCCCCTCACTCATGAACAAGACCCCGAGATACTTAATCTCCTACACCTTGAGCAAGTCCTTTTCCCTTACCTGGGATCACAACCTTGAAGGGCTTGTGTGGTCTAGGGATCTTCAGAACTAAGACATCTGGAGCAGTATGGTCCTGGTAGGGTCTCCCAAGGCGAACAGGTCTGGAGTGAAGACCCAGACTAACTCGATCCATTCTCTTCTATGACCGAGGAACACAACATATCATGTACCCTCCCCGGGATAGGGTTACCGGGACTTAACCCTGACGACCCACGTAACCCAGCTCAAAAAGGAAACGTGGGGGGACCATGTCCCCACCACCCGCAAGGTTCAGCGCAGGGGACCAGTGCAGTGCCTTATAGGTAGTGGGAAAGGTCCTTGGCGGCGGCGGAAAACTGGCTGCACATCTAGTTTTATCAAACTTGTTTTGTGTGGGTGAAGTATTACGGAGGTGCGGAGGAGGTGCTGGCCACCTTAGTGTCAGTGGGGCAGCTCTGAGGCCACAGTTCGTGCGTGTGTGCTTGTGTGTTTAAGTGTAAGTGTGTGTGTGAGAGAGAGAGTGTGAGCGAGAGAGGCTAACTGTGCTGTGCTGTGGTCGGCAGGGCGGCGGAGGAGGCCATGGTGTCAGAGCTGAACGAGAACAACCCAGGGACGGAATGGGAGCGCGTGGCGCGCCTCTGCGACTTCAACCCCAAGTCCAACAAGCAGGCCAAGGATGTCTCCCGCATGCGCTCCGTCCTCATCTCGCTCAAACAGTCTCCGCTGGTCCGCTAGACCACCCCTCAGTTCCGCACACCTCACAGAACTACAATTCCCAGCAGCTCGCGGGCCCCACCACCTCATTTCCGAGTGGCTGTGGTCCAAAAGGTTTTGAGACCTGTTTTTCATATATAAATAATCTATATTATATCCTTACATAATATGGTATAGATATATCTATATATGTTTATATATATATATTCTCCATCTATAAATATATAAATATATATATAAAAAAATTATGCTTTTCAGATTGGTTTTATTTTTATTTTTTCGGCATCTATTTTACGGACCAAACTCCATAAGTGTGTTATTCTCGTTTTCCATTTAGAGCCCGTGTATGGCATTTGTGACTTTATGAATCTATGCATTTCCTCTTTGAACTGTCCAGGAATGAAGTACAAAATGTCTTGTGTATGTTGTATACAGATGGTAGGTGTATTGTATGTGTGTGTGCGCGCGTGTGTGTGTGTGTGGGTGTATCTGTGTACGTTAAGACGACTGGCCCAGTGTACACTTGAGAGTGTGAAACGGAAACACAACTAGTTGTTTATGAGCAGAACTGTACCTTGGTTGTTGTATCTTTGTCGTTCTCTGAACTTGATTCTGATTAAACATGGTTGAAATCTGATGTTTTGTCTTTGCCATTTTTTGGTGTGTGTGTCTGTAGATGAAAATGGGTCGGTGTAACTGGTGGAAGATCTGACAAAGCAGGGTTTCCATTCAAGCATTTTGCACATTTTAAGTGAATTTCTGAGATGACTGTAAAGGAAAACGTGTGCTAATCAGTTTTTCCATTCACGTTGGATGTGCATAAATTCCTCGGCGTTACTGCTGCTGCTTTTCCCAGCCTGTGGCAGATCTCACAATGCCCTCTGCCTATCACTCGTTAACAAGACCCCGAGATACTTAATCTCCTACACCTTGGGCAAGTCCTTTTCCCTTACCTGGGATCAGAACCTTGTCTTGGTGAAAGGGCTTGTGTGGTTTAGGGATCTTCAGAACTAAATCATCTGGAGCAGTATGGTCCTGGTAGGGTCTCCCAAGGAAAACAGGCCTGGAGTGAAGACCCAGACTAACTTGATCCATAATCTTCTATGACCGAGGGACAGTATATCGCCTGGGAGAGGGTTACCCTGACTTACCCCTGGTGGCTGGACGACCCACGTAACCCAGCTGGGCCTGGCCCAAGAAGGAAACGTTGGGGACCATGTCCCCACCACCCCTTACAGGTAGTGGGGTACGTTGGGTATGCATAAATTCCTCATATACTGAGGAGCTCATTGCACGTTGTTTTGTTCAGATTGCTTCGACCTAGTGAGAGTTATTACAGAATATTCGGGGCCTCTTTCGAGTGAATCTCTGTATTTAGAAGGGAAGAAAACACCTAGTTTTGCTAGTAAGAAAAACACTTTGGCGTGTAGACTTAACACACCTTTCAGTTCAATATTTTAGAAATTATGATTCACTTTGCCAGACAAATGGGTAAAATTTCAGTCGTAGGTTATTGATTGAAGCAAAAATGTGTACGATGATAAGATAGAGCAGGCTAGTAACATTACATGTTCTTGAATGAATCTTTGCTTACAAAAATTAATTTGTTGCTTCATCACAATTTTTATTTTTATTTTTTTTCTGTCTTCACGACCGTTGCTGACTTTTTGGCTGCGTTCACATTACCAGGCTGAAGTGGCACAAATCTGATTTTTTTGCCCTAATGGGACGCAGATCTTATGTTTTCATGGCTGTGTGGACAAACAAATCTGATCTTTTCAAATCCGACCTGAGTCACTTTCATATGTGGTCCTAGATCGGATACGTATCTGATTCGTGGCCATGCGACCTTAATGTGACGCTCAGATTGGAATTCACGTGCTTATTTTCCACTGCGTGTGCGCCATCATTCAGCGTTACCATGACAACAGCGCCGAACAGAAGTTAAAGCCTGTAAACGGTGGAAAAGCAGCTCATCTCACCTTTTTCTCCTTCGTCTCGCTCTAATAATGAAGCTGAGAGCTGATCAGAGTTAATTATCTCCTCAGCGAAGCTCGTTCTGCTCGTTAGTTTGTGCTGATGATGAACGTGATTCATTCACGTGACGTTACTGAGTAGGATGAGCTCATGAGGGTCATTTCAGGACGCCGGTTCGTCACATTAATGACAGACTTTAGTCACCTAAACGAGTGTGAACCATCGTGTCAGAGAGATCGGATTTGAGCAATGAGTTTTGGCATGTGAATGTAGCTTTTGTCTATCTTTTGGTAGTTGCCAATTTTAAGATGTAAGTGTTCTTCACAAATATTTCAGTGTAACGTTAAAATGTCACCAAAAATGTTCAACTGTGGGTTTTTGTGAAATCATTTTTAAACTATTTGAGCAAAATGTATATTCTTACAAAATTAATTCTGGGCATTTCTGTTACAAATGTAAACGTGCACTTTGTTCGCAGCTCCTACTGTTTTGTAATTATAATTCAGCCAGAAATTGTGCAAAATGAGTGGAAATATTACCTCATTGATGGGGTGAACTAACACACTGAGGACTAGTTAGAAGTCGTACTTATCGTCTAGTAGTAGTGGAAGAAATCTGATAAAATATTTTTAAACTCTTATTGCATGGGTTCATTGGTAAATGTGAGCAAATGCGATTGTTGTGATAAAGCTGTATGTTACTCCACTCCCAACCCCTGACAGAAAGACAGCAAATGTTTATTATTGCTCTAGAGAAACAGAATGAGAGGTGGCTTTTCTCGAAGGGGACCAGAGAAAGGGTGGAGAGTAAGGCCCAATCCCGTTTCTTCTTTTTACCCCTAACCCTTGTTTTCGAGTGGCACCCTATTCTTTGGAACTGAGTTATAAAGGGTGGTGGTTAAAATCTTGCCCTACAAATGGGACCCTCAAATAAAAAAAAACTTGCTTCATTAACAGCTACTAGCGCTGCTCTGTAGGCGACCCGGCCCGTCTTCAGTGGTAGCAGAGGAGGGTAAAGTTCATCTCCTCACTGCTGGGCTTTAGTTACATTTAGGGCATCATATGCCTTCAAAGAGGGGGGCAATTATTTATTATCGCCCACCACTAATTCTTCAGTGATATGAAGCTGAAGTCAGATATTCACCAGCTTCTTGTTCAAATTTTCCCGTTCCACCTTAAATGGTGCAGCAGTTACATTCTGGCGCTTCAGGCGTCAGAACTGCTGGACTATTTAAGGTGGAACGGGAAAGTTAGCTAGCTAGCTACAGAGACATTAGCATGCTATTAGCGTTTTTTTTATGCTTGTTATGGAGAAAACGACCAAAATACACTGAAACGACGTTAAACTAAGATAAAACAATGGTTATCACGATTTTTTTAACAGAAAATTCTTACATTTGTGTGTTTCTTTGGTCTCTTGTTCAGCCATCTTGCCGTTTTTTTTTCTCCCTCCATTTGGAGTGTGCCTCTGAAAAACCTCCGTTTGGAGGGCCATGTAGCCCCTAACACTTTGCCCTACCCCTCTATCTCAACAAAAACTGGGACACCCTACCCCTAGACGTGAAAGCGCAAAACAGAGGGCTAAGGGCTGAGTGGTAAGGGTGAGGGGTGAAATGGGATTGGGCCTAAGTCTTGGATGTGCTACAGTAATTTTATAGATCCTTGTTGATGGACTTCCAGGAAGAGGTGAGGGCAATTAGACAATGACTGAGGGAGAAAGTGAGAGCCTTCTTACCATGTACCCCGACATGGACAGGTACACAATGGCGGGGGAGGCACCTGCACCCTGAACAAACAGAAAGCAATGGTAAGTTTACAGCATTTGGCAGACACTCTTATCCAAAGTGACTTACAGTTTGATTATTTTACACAGGTAGGCAAAGGCAGTGTGTTAGGAGTCTTGCCCAAGGACTCTTATTGGTACAGTGTAGGGTTCTTGCCCAGATATGGGATTGAACCCCAGTCTACAGTGTGAAAATCAGGAGTGTTACCCACTGCACCATCCCACCTACAAGTTTTGCAGCACAAATTCTTTACCTTGCGTGACAATACGGTGCATATCCTTTCAATCTGAACAAATACCTCTGTTCGGACAGCGAGGAGCAAGGCCATATGCAGCGCTATTGCCCTCTACACCAGCACTGGGAAAGCGGCAGGGTTCAGACAGTACCCTTGGGTCTACCACAGTGTCATGATTAGTGAGTGCTCCACAATTAAAATAGAAATGAATAGCAAATCAGTTTGTCTTTTGGATGTATTTTTTCAACACTAATAACACTAATCAGTCAGTATTTCAAAAGTAGCTGTTAGAAATGCTGGTCCATGTGCCTGAGGAGCTCAGCTGGCTAACAATGAAGGCAGCAAATGGTGGATTTTAAGGTAAGAAGAGATTCCATTTGTCAGAAAGGCATTATAGTAAATGATTGTCTTGAACCTAATTGTGCTAAAATTTACACAGGCCAAAATGGTGTTGTGGGGACATGTGAGTGCAAACTGTTCCAAAGATCAGTGCCCAGTCCTTTTGGAACCATCAGGCTGATTGGAAGGTGGTGCATGCAGCCACTTTAGTACAAGCTGGCAAGGCCACTATTAGAGTATACAACCCCAGCCTTTATCCAGGGGTGAGGAAAACATGGAGTACTTTACACCACCCTAGCCAACATTCTGCACCCCCTCTTACCCTGTTCTTCAGTGGTCAGGACCCCCATGGACCCTCACAGAGCAGGTACTATTTGGGTGGTGGATCGTTCTCTGGTGGGTGAGTGTAGAAACAAGGAGGTGGTCAGAATGTTATGCCTGATTGGTGTAAAATTCCAGCTCCTCTTCTAAATTAATCCAAAAACAGGGTTCTATCTGTATGGACTGTATGTTTTACGTGCGTCTTCGTGTCCAATCTTGCGTAAGAAGCAAAGACAAGATACAATCTTTATACATTCAGTAGATGCTGGCATGTTCATCACACCAAACGTGGTGGGGGATGGAGAGACGATGGAAGAGGTTTCATAGTTGATTCTAAGACTGCAAGTTGGCCAGAACCAGAGGCAGCAAAGCAGCCCAAAACCTTAACATTTCCTCCATGCCTTACAAGTTGGTTTGAGATTCTTCTGATTAAATGCTGTCTTTGGTTTTTGCCAATCATGGCTTCTGGTCGATTCTATCTTTGACTCAACTTTCCATAGCACGTTGTTCCAGAAGCCCTGGCTCTTGCCTAAATATTCATTAGGAAACTTAAATATAAGTGTAAAGGGTCAGCCAGACCAAAGGGAAGCATGAATGAGTCGTAGTAGTAATGCTAATTAAGGCCAAATCCCATTTCACACCTCGTCCCTACTACTTAGCCCTTACCCCTCTGTTTTGGGTGTTCAGGCCTGGGGGGTACATTGGCCCTCCAAACTGGGGTTTTTCACAGATACACTCCAAACAGAGTGTTATGAGATGGCAAGATGGCTGCGCGAGCGACCAAAGAAACCCACAAATGTGAGAATTTTCTCTGGTAAAAAATTATGATAACCATCTTATTATTAGTTTAATGTTGTGTATTATGATTGTTTTCTTCATGACTAGAATAAAAAATCGCTAGTGCTATGCTAACGTCTTCGTAGCTAGCCAGCTAACTTTCCTGTTCCACCTTAAATAGTGCAGCAGTTCTGATGCCTTAGGC